TCATATTCCCAGACTATCAGCCAGGGTTTAAACAGACCAGCTCTCCTGTCTCAATGCATTAAGTTTATATAGTGGGTATATTCACATCGTGATCAAATGCATTACAGTATGAAAAGCACTGTCTCCCTTAGGGACCCAAAATAGATGAGACTATCATATTTTGGCCACAACTAGAATGAGACCCAGTAGAGCCTTACATTCTTGAGATCAAGTGGGGTACTGGGCCCCAGAATCACTGGTTCCATTCAAGGGCTAACCATCTGAAACCTTTTGGGAACCACAGCTAAGAGCTGCCAGTTCCAATGTGTGGTCAGTTAGAGACTCAGTGACAAGTCTGAGTGTACTTGACTAGGCCATTATCCTTGGAATGAAACCCAAGGGGTGGCCTGAACATGAATGAGACCATGAATGTACAGCCAAACTCAGCACAGCGCTCAGCACAAGGGTGGAGCTTACTGAATGAGACCTGGGACCGTTTCACCCAGTAACACCTGTCCCTGGATGAGGACTAAGCCCTCTCTGTAAAGAAGGCACTTACAAAGATTGTGTATTAGGGGAGATAGTTTCCCAAACTAATATGCTCCTGGTAAATAGATACTTCAGGTGAGCTTACAGTGTCAAGTTGGGAAGCAGCATGCCATTTCCTAAGAGATTTATGATATCACTTGTAGAGTGGGGAAAGACCAGATCTTCCTCATGTTCAGGCCCTGCCCTAGTACACCGCTGGAGCTCAAGTGCGAAGGGTGAGGGCGTGGTAAAAGGAATACAGAACCTTGATGGATGCTCCCTTATCCCACCCTTATTAATTTCTTTATGCCAGTGGCTCTCAACTCTCAAGGCTTTCTCAACCATCTGAGGAACCTGTCTGTCAATAGTAACCCTGGATTATTCAACAGGTGTTCTCAAAAGGGTAGATCTGGAGCAGGGAATTAGAGGAAGGTACGCAGTTAGGAAAAACCCTGAGTTTCTAACATTCCCTGTCAGGGGATTTTCCCTCAACCCAATCATTGCGTTAAGCACTAATGTGGTTAAAAAAAAAAAAAAAATTTCTGGAGGCAGTCTTGATAGTATTTGTCCTGCTATTTCATAAGCTCATTAGTACTTGTTAAGCTCTATTCTAAATTTTGGTTCAGAAAATGTTGTCACAACAGGGACAGAACAATCAAGTGATATTAGAATTGCCATCCTCAAATTACTCAGTGGACCCAGGGATTTTGGAGCTAAGTGTGATGAATATCTCTCATGATCATTTTCGTGCATCTGAATGGAGGAGGGTATCTCCTTAGTATTCAGTAAGAAAATGAAAGAGAGGGGCGCCTGGGTGGCTCAGTCGTTAAGCGTCTGCCTTCGGCTCAGGTCATGATCCCAGGGTCCTGGGATCGAGCCCCGCATCGGGCTCCCTGCTCTGCGGGAAGTCTGCTTCTCCCTCTCCCACTCCCCCTGCTTGTGTTCCCTCTCTCACTGTGTCTCTGTCAAATAAATAATAAAAATCTTTAAAAAAAAAAAAAAAAAGAAAATGAAAGAGAAGTATGGAAGGAAAAGCCATCCACTTGCTAAGAACCTGATTTCCAGATTATGTAATTACTCGAACTATACTCCATAGGTACCCCAACTGGAAAATAACAGGGGCAAGTATTTTATTCGTAGAGCCACACAGAGCATCAGAGTTAAAAAAAAAAAAAAAAGTGCAGGCCACAGCCGTTTGCTTTCACTCACTTAGCTTTGTGTTAACGTGCTTTTTAAGTCTGCATATTGTACATTAAGAAATGGTACTGTAATGAAGTCTTCCTTGAGCGTTGGCTTGTAGGTATTGACTAGGGGGTTAAATAATAACTGCAATAGGACAGATAAACCAGGGAAGACAATAGATGGCAAATATGCTGCCTCTCATCATGCTCAGGCCCAGGGCAGGCATTTTTAATCAATCACAGAGTTTCTTTATGTTGCCCTCAGACACAGCTCCAGATGCTGCCTCAGCATAATGCTCTGGGCAGCCATTACAAACTTGATTGGAGTCAGTTTATGAGATGAAACCACTATGCCTTCTCTATGATATGTGCTATTGTACTTGATACTCTTGATAAATAACTACTATGATCACAAGTGTTATGATTATACATATGGATTGTTTTATGAAGAGATAGTGGAGGTAACCATGGAACCTTTCAGCAAGATTATTTTGTGATACAGTCTTTATCTGTAAATCCTACCCAGAATCTGTATATCTTCTACGGAATGATGTTAGGTTATATATGCAATTATGACACAGATGGAGTTCACGGGATATTGCAGATTCAGTAACCTAAACCTTTGGTGCCATGTGGAAGGTCTAGCCTGACAAATGATGAGGTGAAGGAATCAAGTTAGCACAGTGGCACAACTATCAAAGCACTTCTCAGCCTGAGACCCTTTATCAGGGAAATCAGGCTGACCTGCCCACGCAGTAAAAACAAGCCTTGGACAAAGAGATAAGGGTTTCGCAAGAAAGTCCTTTGGAGACCGAGAGGCTGTATTTCCCAAGCCACATAATTAAGGGGAGATTCTGAGCTAGCAGGTCTGGGATGAGGTCAGGGACTTGGTGATTCTGATACGCAGTCAGGGTTGCAATCACCGCTCTAACATACTGTGTAAATAAGAGGAATACACTGGTGGCATCTTGGTCCTCTCCGCTTTGTTTCTTATATGGGTTTCTGGCAGCCCCTTGGCTAGTGCATCATAATTCAGCTTCTGCCAGGCAGCCAACAAATACTTACTGATAGTATACTATGGCATTCCTAATTAGTGGCTGGCATTCACCATCTGACCCTTTTAGTTTGATTTTCTCCATACCCACTTTAAGCTGTCAGCCTTGGCATGTTTGGGCAGCAGTGTCTGATCCTATGGTCAGGCACACGGGATCAGGTACACGGGAGATCACGCTAATGGAAATGACCTCAACTTGGTATAAGCTCAAGAAAAGTCTACACTTAAGGGTACCAGTACTTTCAGGCCCAACACAGGGAGGAAGCAGACAAGATGAAATATTCCAAGAAGGTTTTTGAGAAATCACGGGATAGTTAGGCATGATGGTTTTGTGTGGTAAACTTTCCAGGCTGACAGAGCAGGGATGGTGAACAGACTTCACCTTAAGAACCAACTTCAACTGACTGCTAGGAATTGCTTAGAGGGCTGTGTTAGAAAGAGTTCTGAGGTCGGGTCTGGGCCCAGAGGGAAGAAGTACAGGGACTGACAAATGCGGTGAACGGAGGATAGAAGAGCAGCGCACGTGCTACACTGACGTGACCTCCAGATGCAAGGGCAGGGACAAGAGTGGGGATGTGCAGAATTTTTGGAACTGGCCAACAACAAGTAATCACTTCCTTTGTGAAGGCAAGTTATTAATGACTGAGGCATCCATGGCTTGATGGATTGGGTCTGTTGTATGGGACTGGGCTTCAGTCCCAGTTCTGTTACTGGGACTGGAACTGGGACTGGATATCCCACTGTATATCCTGATGGCTGGGAGGGAGGGAAGAAAGTTAGTGCTTATTAAAATAGTAATAGCTGTGTGCCAGTAAACACTAAATTCTCTGTATACATCACATTACTTCACTTATTTCTCCAAGCCTTGTTTTTTTTTGAGTCATGAAATGGGAGTAGTATCATCAATGTTCTGTGTGGATTAAATAAGGTGATGGGGTGAAAGTTCACCGTATACTGCAAATTGTCCTAGAACTATAGAGCATGAGTGCAATGGCCATTTGCATTCAGGGCATAATACAGTAGTTAGGTGCAGGACTCAGCCTTAGGCAGTCTTGGGTTCTGATCCCAGCTTCATTACTTAACAAGTAATTGTTCCCTATATCCTAGTTTCCTCATATAAAAAATGGAGATAGTATCAGTACTATCCAATAATAGTGATATGATTACAGGAGACAAGAATAGAAGAGTGATCAGCAAAGTGCCTGGCACATAGCAACGAGCACTTGATAAATAACCACTTTCAAAAACTGTAATTCTTCATGTTAATATTATTTAAAAAGATCAGGTCTTTGCCATAAGTTTCACTAATGGACTCCAATAAAGTTTTTCAATCACAGAAAAGTCTGGTGGAAAATCAGTCTAAGTTTGGGTCTTGCAGATCCGAGTTTGAGTCCCTCCCCGCCTGACTTTCTCAGAAGCAGATGGCAGATGGTCAAATGGGAGCATGGGCCATGTCTACCCTGAGAAGCAGCTGTGAGGGCCCCGAGGAGCTGGGGAATGCTGCTCGCTGCCGCCGCCGTGTGCTCCTACATACCACGGACTCAGAGTGGATGGGCAGTTTTCTGTGGAATCAGCAGGGCTGCTGGGGAAATGCCGCACACAGACACTTACCACTTAGAAGAATCTGCCACAGGGGGCAAGTGAAATCTCTGCTCTGACTGACACAGGATGGATGAGTGGAGGAGACCATCCATCAGTGTCAGGAAAGATCTGAAGCACCTGGCTAGTCAGTTGAAATAAAATAAATTATTTACTGATCTCAGAATCCAGCTGCTCACTCAAATGCTCGTAAAAGGTGCATTGTTTGCTGCCCTGTACTTTACGGTAGATTCAGTTTTGGAAAGAAAGAATTCCTGGATCACTCTGCAGGTTTTTGTTGCTGTTACTGTTAAAATGAAAGGGTGTTACCTGCTTTGCAAGGAGGGAGAGGGGTTCTAAAGTCACATACGGAACTCATCTACACGGCAACAGGAAATGAGCTTTCTTTCCTGCATGGTATAGTACTCATGGGCACGGTTTCTGTGACTGTCACAAAATTCCTTAGGACTAATTAATGAAATTTCTGTTTATCATGCTAAAGATTGAGCTTAGATTCATAATTGAAACACATATTCTGGCAGCACCTGACTGTTCAGAAGCTCCTTGGAGCCATGTCTCTCCACCAGAGGGTGCCATGTGTACCACTGGAAACATCCAGAGGTGACTGAGACCTGGCTTCTAGACACACTTCTGAGAACTACTGCTCTAGGGAGAGATACCTGCATCACTGTCATCATCCATTTCTACCTGACAAGTCTCCTCCACTGTAGCTACAAGTGAGACTTGGCCAAGAGCGCCACTACCTAATCTGACTGACGTGGTTAATTTCAAGATGGTAGACAGGACAGAAAGCCATAGGCAAAACAGGGAACAGTGACGATACTAGCAACACTAAGAGAAGCCAGCCTCTGTTCAGAATAGAGCTTCTATAGGCCAGACACTTTTTTTTCTATCTTGAAAGGTAAATGTTGTAATTCCCATTCTATAGATGACAAAAACTAAGACTGAAAAGAGAAGGGACTTGTCCAAGGTGACACTGCATGTAAGTGCTAATGCAGGATTTAAACCCAGTCCTGACTACAGACTAGGGCTCTTCCCACAGATCCTTTTGTGGGCCTCTTCCTTTAAGTGAATATACACGTCAGAATCTGATGAATTAAAATTTGGCTTTTTTGCCTTCGGAAAAATGTGTGGGAAAGAAGCCCACGATCTTGGTTATCTTTCCAAGCATTGTTTTTTTACCTCGGGAATCCGTGGACTTACTGATGATGCTCACCTGGGAAAATCCCCGCCTTGTACCCTGGCTGCAGCCAGGCTACTTACTGGGTTTCTTAAAACTAGACTCACTCCTTTGTTACTGGGAAGGTACTGCAGGCAAACACAAACTAGATGTCTGAGTAGAATTCTTTTTTTTTTTTTTAAAGATTTTATTTATTTATTTGAGAGAGAGAGAATGAGAGAGAGCACATGAGAGAGGGGAGGGTCAGAGGGAGAAGCAG